GTTTGGACCGCAGTACACAAACCGAAGGGCAGGCGAAGAAACTTCAGAAGGACAAAAGGCGTCGTGACAGCAGTCTTTGGGATGTTCTCCTCCGCGACCGACATTTTGTGATAAGCTCTGACGAGATCGATTTTGGAGAAACTGGTCTTTTCCGAAAACATGTGCGAAAATTCGTGAATATGAGGTATCGGGTACCTGTCCGGGGTGTTGGCTCTGTTCAGAGCTCGATAGTCACTGTATGGTCTTCAATCACCGGATAATTTCTTGGGTACCATGTGCAGTTAAGAGGCCTATGGACTGGTCAAAGGTCAGATTATCCCAAAACTCGGCATATGCTCACATTCGTTCTTTGCGATTCGAAGCTTTTCAGGGTGAAGTCGGCGCGGGTGAATATGGACAAGTCGTCCAGGTGTAGCAATATTATGCCAAACAACATGCTGAACCTGTTCAGTTAACTGACATGGCTTACAAAGGAACAGATAGTTCTTCAAGCTGTTAGGGAATGACGAAATTGGAACAGTCAAGTGAATGCTAGTTGAAGGATCGAGGGAAGCATTGAAGAGCTTTGTAGCATAGTCGATCAATTTGCGATGTTTTGGATTGACACCAGAGCTAAAGTGCGATAAGAAGTTAACTCCAATTATAGGCGACTGAACGTCAGCCTGAATAGAGGCCTATTGGAAGCGGCAGCGAAGTCTGAGGACTGAGGTGAGGGATCGTTGACCGTACGATGTTGGCAGCCTGTAGGGAAAACGGCGAAGTCTGCAGGCAGTTACGCCCAGGAGGGGGGAGTGACGCTAACCTCAGTACCAGTACGATCAGGAAACTGAATCTCATTGACCTCTCGGTGAAGAGAAACAGGTGAGTTGGCCGCGATTGGTCAGCGGCAGCCCTTGTCAGTACTGACTAGCGTAGTCAGTTCCCGAATGTGGCGTTTTGTCGTAGTTGCAAGGCTGAATCCATTTACTTGCCGTCGGGCCATATGTAAGGTGATGCCAACACAGCGGTTGGGGCGACCGCTTTCTTGACTGAGAATGGCGACGACTACTTTGCCCACGACCCGGCTGAAGTGCTAACTTGCGAGGAC